TAATTTTGTATTTTTAGTAGAGATGGGGTTTCTCCATTTTGGTCAGGCTGGTCTCGAACTCCTGACCTCAGGTGATCCGCATGCCTCGGCCTCCCAAAGTGCTGGAATCACAGGTGTCAGCCACCACACCCAGCCAACACTTTATTTCTTATTTCCACCTGATGCACTGCCATTGTCTACGCTCAATCTTCTGGATTTGTGGGTCAGATTACACTGAGTTCCTGATGGTCAGGTCAGGTTTTATCATTGCTCTGTGCACCATGGCCAGGTATCTATCTCTAACCGAGAGAAGGAACTGTTTCTTCACACAGATGGGTTGTGTGCAGAAGATGGCATGGCTTTGGGCCAAAACCCTACGAGTTTATGCCAGAAAATGCTCCTATTGGCACTTTCTGGAGATCATACAGCATCTTGATTTGCCACATTCTTTTCTGAGTATCATGTGATCTGCTGAGTCATAAGACTGAGCTTAAGCTCAGCATGGGCCGGATGCGGAGCCTTCTCAAGGACTTGGACCACACTCCAAGTTGGCATTTTTGTAGGTTACTCACTAAATGGGTTGGAAAATACCTCAAATATGGTATATTTTTCCTTTTTTATTTTATTTGTATCTTTAAACTTTATTAGCCTGGCCAACATGGTGAAACCACGTCTCTACGAAAAATACCAAAATTAGTCAGACGTGGTGGTGCACGCCTGTCATCCCAGCTACTCAGGAGGCTGAGGCAGGAGAATTGCTTGAACCCAGGAGGTGGAGGTTGCATTAAGCTGAAATTGCACCAGTGCACTCCAGCCTGGGTGACAGAGCAAGACTCTGTCTCAAAAAAAAAAAAAAAAATTAAAGACCAATTGTTTGGTTTGTTTTGAGACAGAGTCTCGCTCTGTTGCCCAGGCTGCAGTGAAGTATGATCTCTGCTCACTGCAACCTCCACCTCCCAGGTTCAAGCGATCCTCCTTCCCCAGCCCCCCTAGTAGCTGGGACTACAGGCACACACTACCATGCCCAGTTAATTTTTGTATTTTTAGTAGAGACAGGGTTTCGCCATGTTGGCCAGTGTGGTCTCGAACTCCTGACCTCAGGTGATCTACCTGCCTCGACCTCCCAAAGTGCTATGATTACAGGCATTAGCCACCGCACTAACCTAAAAAAATTTTTTTAATTATATGGGCATGGTGGCGTGCACCTGTGATTCCAGCTACTTGGGAGGCCGAGGCAGGAGGATCACTTGAGCCAGGCTACAGTGAGCTGTGATCACACCACTGCACTCGAGCTTGGGCGAGAGAGAGAGACTGCATCTCAAAAATGAATAAATAGGCCGGGCCAGTGTCTGCTAATCCCTAAAAGGTCTGAGTAGTTTCCTTTTCCCAATACACAGTTACTGCATAAATGGAGACAAGTCCCATTTGAATGGAAAATGCAAAATATAAGCTTGCAGCAGTTATTTTAGGGTAATTCCTCAAGAGTACCAGCCTCCTCTTCAATTAAGGAACTTTTGGTCTCCAAATCGGTTTACATGTGGAATTCGTGCAAATTCTCCATCTTGATGACTCATGTCGGATTTCTACACACACGACCTGGAGTCTTCCTGTTATACAGATATTTCAACAGAGATGAATTAATACACGGGTCTTAGATAAATTAAACAGGTCTCAGGAAACCTTGAAAGGAATGAGAAGAAACAGCGCAGAAATAGTAACTGTACCATATAAAAATAGTAACTGCAGGCTACACCTATCACTCCAGGACTGAGCTAGAATTATCAGGATCTAAAATGTTGAGGCAGCAGCCCTGCAGAACCGAAACCCAGACTAGAGCCAGGGCCTACTGGGGTGGCGCTGGTGTGACAGAAGGCTGACAATGACGTTGGTTATGGCGTCGGGCGCAGTGGCTCATGCCTGTAATCACAGCACTTTGGGAGGCTGAGGTGGGAGGACCCCTTGATCCCACGAGTTTGAGACAAACCTCGGCAACATGGCGAGACCCCCATCTCTACAAAACAATTTGAAAACAAAAAATTTAGCTGGGTGTGGTGGCGTGTACCTGTGGTCCCAGCTATTCTGGAGGCTGAGGCGGGAGGATGGCTTGAGTCTGAGAGGTCGAGGCTACAGTGAGCCTCGACCACAGCACTCCATCCTGGGCAACAGAGATAGAAAAAGAAACAGAAAAAGAAACAGGTTATGGAGATGCCAAAAAATAAAACTTAAAACCTGGAAGAGGGCCGGGCGCGGTGACTCACACCTGTAATCCCAGCACTTTCAGAGGCTGAGGCAGGTGGATCACCTGAAGTGGAGTTCAAGGCCAGCCTGACCAACATGGTGAAATCCCGTCTCTACTAAAAATACAAAAATTAGCTGGGCGTGGTGGCAGATGCCTGTAATTCCAGCTACTCAGAAGGCTGAAGCAGGAGAATTGCTTAAACCCAGGAGGCGGAGGTTGCAGTGAGCTGAGATCGTGCCACTGCACTCCAGCCTGGGCAACACAGCAAGACTCCGTCAAAAACAAAAAACCTGGAAGCAACTGCTGCTGTCAGAGGGAGCGTTGTTCTGGGACGATGCTTGCTTGAAAGCCTGGAGCAAATAGATGAAGCAAATCCCTGCTTCCTCCTCCAATCGCTGGTCTCCGTCTAGCGCCCTCTTTAGGCCGGGGCTTATAGCAACCGACTGGGAAAGCAAAAACAAGGCTTGCAGAGGCCCCGCCCCAGCATCACAGAGCTGAGACAAGGGTGGATTTGCAGCTGAGAGACAAAAGCTCAAACTCGCACATGGACGGAGTGAGTTCCTGTGGCTTCGCAGCAGCTGACATTTCCAAATATAAAATCATGCATTACAGATGCTCTCTGGATTGCCCACATTTCTGTTCCAACTCAGCCACTTTCAATTTTTATTTTATTATTATTATTTTTGAAACAGAGTCTTGCTCTGTCACCCAGGCTGGAGTGCAGTGGCGCAATTTCGGTTCACTGCAACCTCCGCCTCCTAGGTTCAAGCGGTTCTCCTGCCTCAGCCTCCTGAGTAGCTGGGACTACAGGTGTCCACTACCACACCCAGCTAATTTTTGTATTTTTAGTAGTGACAGGGTTTTGCTATATTGGCCAGGCTGGTCTCGAACTCCTGGCCTCAAGTGATCCATCTGCTTGACCTCCCAAAGTGCTGTTTTACAGGCATGAGCCACCACGCCCAGCATCCAACTCAGCCACTTTCTGTGTGACTTTATTAGAGCCACTTTTCTGTGTCTCACTTTTCTCATCTGCAAAATGGAGAAAATGATAGTACCTACCTTATATGGTTATCATCGGATTCACTGATTTAGTGCACATGAAGCACTTAAAACAATGCTGGACAGATATATATAGAAAGTACTGGAGGCTGGGCATGGAGGCTCACACCTGTAATCCCAGCACTTTGAGAGGCCGAGGTGAGTGGATCGCTTGACCCCAGGAGTTTGAGACCAACCAGGGAAATATGGTGAGACCCCATCTCTATCAAAAATCCAAAAAATTAGCCGGGCATGGTGGTGCGAGCCTGTAGTCCCAGCTACTTAGGAGACTGAGTGGGAGAACTGCTTGAGCCCAGCAGGTGAGGTTGCAGTGAGCTGTGATTGAGTCACTGCATTTCTGCGTGGGTGAGAGTGAGATCTTGTTGAAAGAAAAGAATAAAAAGTGGCCAGGTGCGGTGGCTCACGCCTGTAATTCCAACACTTTGGGAGGCCGAGGCAGGCAGATCACCTGAGGTGAGAAGTTTGAGACCAGCCTGGCCAACATGGTGAAGCCCCATCTGTACCAAAAGTACAAAAATTATCCGGGTGTGGTGGCGGGCACCTGTAATCCCAGCCACTCCAGGGGCTGAGATAGAATTGCTTGAACTCAGGAGGTGGAGCTTGCAGTGAGCTGAGATCGTGCCACTGCACTCCAGCCTGGGTGACAGAGCGAGACTTTGTCTCAAAGAAAAAAAAAAGGAGAAGAAGAAGAAAAGGAAGGAAGGAAGAAGGAAGGGAGGGATGGAGGGAAGAAGTGAGGAAGGAAGGGAGGGAGGGAGGAAGGAAGAAGGAAGGGAGGGAAGGAGGAAAGAAGGGAGAAAGGAAGAGAGGGAGGGAGGGAGGGAGGGAGGGAGGAAGGAAGGAAGGAAGGAAGAAGGGAGGAAGGAAAGAAGAGAGGGAGGGAGGAAGGAAGGCAGGAAGGAAGGAAGGCAGGCAGGCAGGAAGGGAGGGAAGGAAGGAAGAAGGGAGGAAGGAAGGAAGAGAGGGAGGGAGGAAGGAAGGAAGGAAGTTACATTACAGTGATTATTACTACTTGGGTTGGTGAAAACTAACTCAGCATCCTCCAGAGAAGTCGCGGTTGCCACACAACACTTGGCTATGTTTCAGCGCTACTCTGCACCCACAGTGACAGATACTTGGATCTCCTCCAATTTGGAGGAAGGATGTTTTGGTTTTGATTTTTGGACGTGTTGGTTGTTGGTGGCTTTCATGCTATTTAACTAATAATTGCTGTCAGTTCAACCTTGTCATTACCAGTTTAGCTTGTTACGCGTTATTTAGTTAAACTGCATGTATAATCATGCATATTTGCCTCAACCCTGTGTGCGCCTGGCCTGCAATTTCCCACTAATTAGACTTTTTAAAGACACGTATGCATTTATCTACTCAAATTTGCATCATCCGTTTCCCTATTGCCAAAGCAGATGTACACAACACCCACCCACCCCCACTCCAGGAAATACTTTGCTTATTATCACGGAGTTATTTTTCCACTGGAAAGTTGAAACTGGGTAGGAGGGGTACAGATGGGGTCTTGTCCTACTGAAGTAGCACACTGCAGACAGAAGGTGCTGGGTCTCAGGCAAGAACAATGGGGCTGAGGGGAGGAAACGGACTCTGAAATATCTGAATTACAGCAGCAAATCCACCAAGAACCCCAAACCCAACACTCCAGCTCCAGCTCCCACCCTGGAAGGATCTAGACACCCACCAGTTCCCCCAAGAATCAAGCCTCTGGACACAATTCCTCTCAAATGGCTTTATTTCCCCAGTGTGAGGAATCTGTGAGTGGTGAGGGGTCTGTGGTCCCTGTTACCCCAAGGACCCTCCATTCTCCCCTGTTGTGGCGGAGTCCCCAGAGGGATAATGGCCCGGGCTCCAGGACTTGATCCTCCCAGGCTGGGGCTGGTTCTGGGAGGAACCGGGCATGCTGTGGTTTGTACGGATGACACTCCCAAAGGTGGTCCCAACAGTGGCCCAGATGGGCACGGGGCTCACCTCAAGGACAAGGCCACCAGGTGCGGGGGCCGAGGCCCAGATGAGCCTTACTCTAGGAGCAAAATCCCCTGTGGGGGCTTCTCCTTGAAGTCTGCCAGCAGGGCTCAGTCTGGGGGAAGAGAGAAAAGAGAGAGCTGGGGATTGGCAGGGAAGGGGAGAGACAGAAAAGCTGGGAGACTGGCATAAAAGAAGGAACACGAAGACCAGAGTACAAAATGCTCAAAGGAGACCAAGAGAGTGACCCAGGGACACTGGAAAGGCGCCAAGAGAGAAAAACACGCAAACATACAGGAACAGAGGCTGGAGATGCACAGGCTGATGATACACACTAACCTTTGGGCCCAGGGAGGTCAGGGGGTGGCGGCCCACCTGGGGGCAGCAAGGCAGAGCGGCTCAGGGCCTCGGCCACCCACCCGAGGACGCGGCTACAGTGCTGGATCTGGGGAAAGGGAGGAATGTCAGAGCAGGAGATGGAAACCCCTGCCCGACCCCTGCCGCAGTTCCCCAGCCAAACCCCAAGCCCTCACCTCCCGCTCCAGCACTTTCAGGCGCTGTTCGTACTCGCGGATGTGTCCCAGCTGTTTCAGTGCCATGTCCACCCTGAGAAGGAGGGCCTCTTACCGGGGGCACCCGTAGCCCACCCACCCCCCGGGGGCTCGCCTGCTTCCTGGGCCTCCTCCCTCCCTCCCAGGACCCTGACTTCAACCGAAGTCAGGATCCGCCCCAGGCCAGAAGCCCCATCCCCGACCAGGCCCCGCTCTCACTTCTGGGACGTGCGCTTCAGACGCTCGGAGTCGCTCTCCCGCTTGTCCCTAGCGCGTGCCAGCAGGAAGTTCTCCTTATGCACCGATTCCCACGTTAGCAGCTTCCGCTCGGCTTCCTTAGAAAGGCAGACCACTGCAGGGGCGGGCGGAGTCAAAGGGCTAAGGCCACGCCCCTTCCCAAGCCCAGCAGCCCCTTCCGACACCCTCAGAACACGCTATCTCAGACCCGGCCCCTGGTGATTCGAGAACATGCCCCGCCCCTCACCCCTAAGCCCTGCCCCTCAGTGCTTAAGCCGCGCCCCTTGTTGTTTAAACCCCGCCCCTCGCTGCCTAAGCCACGCCCGTTAGTTATTTGGGGCATGCCCCTTCCCCTCGCCTTCCAGGCTGCCGGTCCCCTATTCTTTTTAAGCCAAGCTCTGTTCTCACGGAAATGCTCGAGGGTCGGGGAGGACGGCTGGGGGCTCCGGGGGCGCCTGCACAATTGCCTGAGCAGGAGGCGCAAGTGGGAGATGACGATAAAGGGCGGGGCCAGCGTGGGCCGAGAGTGGAATTCCCGGATGAGGCGGTAGCGCTGCGCCTTCCAGTAGAGATCGCTGTTGCCCTGTACTTTGCCGAACGTGTAGCTGCAGAGGCCAGAGGTCAAAGGTCACTTGAGGTCAGGGCCCAGCCAAGGGCAAAGACAAAGGTTAGATGCCAGGCAATAATTTTTCAAAGTCTACGGCAGCAGACAGAAGTCAAGATCACTAAAGTAAGAGGTTACAGGATGCGATTAGAAGTCAGGTTAGGGCCGGGCCCATTTGCTCACGCCTGTAGTCCCCGCACTTTGGGAGACCAAGGTGGGCGGATCACCTGAGGTCAGGAGTTCGAGACCAGCCTGGCTAACATGGTGAAGCCCCATCTCTACTAAAAATACAAAAATTAGCCAGGCATGGTGGCGGGTACCTGTAATCCCAGCTACTGGGGAGGCTGAGGCTGAGGCTGAGGCAGGAGAATCGCTTGAACCCAGGAGGTGGAGGTTGCAGTGAGCTGAGATTGTGCCACTGCACTCCAGCCTGGGAGACAGAGTGAGACTCCGTCTCAAAAAAAAAAAAAAAAAAAAGTCAAGTTAGAAGGGCCAAGGGTCAGATGTCAGAGGTCAAGTTGGACGTGGTATCAAGGCTTAAGGTAGAGGTTGAAGTCATGTTAAAGTTGGGCTCAAAAATTAGCTAGGACACAAATAACTGACATCAGAAATGAAAATGGAGACATTACCACCGACCTTACCGAAATAAAAAGGATTGTAAGAGATGTCAACAAACTAGATAAGTGAAATGGACAAATTCCTAGGAACACACAAATTACCTAAGCTGACTCAAGAAAAAATAGAAAATCTCAATAGACTTATCATAAGAGATTTAATCAAAAACCTTTCAATAAAGAAAAGCCCAAAACCAGATGGTTGTGCTGGTGAATTCTATCAAACATTTAAAAAAGAATCATAATAACAAGGATGTTCCTCAAATTCATCCAAAAGACTGAAAAGGAGAGAACATTTCCTAACTCATTCCATGAGGCCAGCATTACCGTAATACCAAAGCCAAATAAAGATATCACAAGAAAATTACAGACCAGTAGCCCTTATGAATATACATATAAACATCCAGAAAAAATACTGGCAAATCTAATTCAGCAGCATATTAAGTGGATTTTACACCATAACAAAATGGGATTTATCCTAGGAAAGTAAGGGTAGTTAAACATACAAAAATCAGTGCAAATACCACATTAATAGAACAAGGTGTGGGGGAAACCACATGATCTCAACCAACACAGAAAAGGCATTTGACAAAATTCAACAACACTTCATGATTTTTTTTTTTTTTTTTTTTTTTTTTTTTTGAGACAGAGTCTCGCTCTGTCACCCAGGCTGGAGTGCAGTGGCGCAATCTTGGCTCACTGCAAGCTCCCCCTCCTGGGTTCATGCCATTCTCTTGCCTCAGCCTCCCGAGTAGCTGGGACTACAGGCACCCACCACCACGCCCGGCTAATTTTTTGTATTTTAGTAGAGACGGGGTTTCACCGTGTGTGGGTGGCAAGCCACCCAGGTGCCGAGGCAAGAGACCAAGGGCACGAGCTGTTCCAGTGTAATAAAATACATAAAATAACAAGAGTTACACTAGATATAGATCGTAGATATGATTATATATGAATATCATTAATCATTAGTTTGTAGCAATTACTCTTTATTCCAATATTATAATAATCCTTGCTCTACAATTATAACCTAGGAAAAACCAGGCCATGTGGAGATAGGAGCTGAAGCGACATAGTGAGAAGTGACTAGAAGACAAGTGTGAGCCCTTTGTCACGCCCAGACAGGGCCACTAGAGGGCTCCTTGGTCTAGCGGTAACACCAGCGTTTGGGAAGACGCCGTTACCAAGCGGACCGTGGTGTAGCGGTAGCGTCAGTGCCAAGGAAAAGCACCAGCTACTTAGCAGACCGGAAAAGGGAGTCTCTCTTTCCCCAGGTGAGTTTAGAGAAGACTCTGCTCCATCACCTCTCATGGAGGGCCTGACATCAGTCAGGCCTACCCACAGTTATCCAGAGGCCTAACCATCTCCCTGTGATGCTGTGCTTCAGTGGTCACACTCCTGTTTCACTTTCATGTTCCATCCTGTACACCTGGCTCTGCCCTCTAGATAGCAGTAGGAAAATTAGTGAAAGTATTAAAGTCTTTGATCTTTCTGAAAAGAGCATAGAAGAAATAATGACGTAAGCTGTCCTCTCTGTCTCCGCCTGGGCTATCTAACAGGGAAGGGCCCCTGTCTGGTGGACACGTGACTCACGTGACCTTATCAATCATTGGAGATGACTCACGCTCTTTACCCTGCCCCTTTTGCTTTGTATCCAAAAAATAACAACGCAGCCAGGTGTTCAGGGCCACTACTGGTCTCCCTGTCTTGGTGGTAGTGGTCCCCTGGGCCCAGCTGTCTTTTCTTTTATCTCTTTGTCTTGTGTCTTTATTTCTACGATCTCTCATCTCCACACACAGGGAGAAAAACCCACAGACCCTGTAGGGCGGGCCCCTACAACTATGTTAGCTAGGATGGTCTTGATCTCCTGACCTCGTGATCTGCCCACCTTGGCCTCCCAAAGTGCTGGGATGACAGGCGTGAGCTACCAAGCCCGGCTTTTTTTTTTTTTTTTTTTTGAGACAAGGTTTCACTCTGTTGCTGGCATGATCATGGCAGTGGTGAAATCATGGCTTACTGCAGCCACAGCCTTGCCCTCCTGGGCTCAAGCCATCCTCCTGCCTCAGCCTCTTGAGTAGGTGGGACTACAGGCATGCACCACCATGCCTGGCAAAATTTTTTTTTTATTGAGATAGGGTCTCACTATGTTGTCCAGGTCGGTCTTGAACCCCTGGCCTCAAGTGATCCTCCCACTTTGGCTTCCTAAAGTATTGGGATTACAGGCATAAGCCACCATGCCCAGGCATCATAATTTTTAAAAATCATAAACTAGGAATAGAAATAAACTTTCTCAACATGAGAAAAGGTACTTCTGAAAAACGCACAGCTAACATCATACCTAATGGTGAAAGACTGAAAGCTTTCTGCCTAAGATCAGGAACAAGACAAGGACATCCACTTTTACCACTGCTATTCAACATTGTACTGGAAGTTCTGGCTAGAACAATTAAACAAGAAAAAAATATATAAAAGGCATCCAAATTGGAAAGGAAGAAGTAAAAATATCTCTATTCACAGATGACATGATCCTATATATAGGAAATGCCAGAGACTCACAAGAAAGCTTCTAGAGCTGCAGATTCAGCAAAGTTACAGGGTACAAGATCACACAAAAATCAGTTGTGTTTCCACACACCTGCAATGAACAATCCAAAAACGAAATTAAGAAAGCAATTCCACTTACAGCAGCATCTAAAGGTTAAGCACCTAGGAATAAAGTTAACCAAAAGGGTAAAAAACCTGTAGCCTGAAAACTACCAAATATTGCTGGAAAAACATTAAAAAGAACACCTAGATGAAATGTCAATACTACCTGAAACAATCTACAGATTCAACGCAATCCCAATGAAAATTCCAACAACTGGCCGGGTGCAGTGGCTCATGCCTGTAATTCGAGCACTTTGGGAGGCCAAGGCGGGTGGATCACCTGAGGTCGGGAGTTCGAGACCAGCCTGACCAACATGGAGAAACCCCATCTCTACTAAAAATACAAAATTAGCTGAGCGTGGTGGTGCACGCCTGTAATCCCAGCTATTCAGGAGGTTGAAGCAGGAGAATTGCTTGAGCCTGGGAGGCAGAGATTGTGGTGAGCTGAGATCGCGCCATTGCACTCCAGCCTGGGCAACAAGAGTGAAACTCTGTCTCAAAAAAAAAAAAAAAGAAAAAAGAAAAGAAAATTCCAACAACCTTTTTGACAGACATGGAAACTGATCTGCAAGTTCATATGGAATTGCAGGAGGCCCTGAATAGCCAAAACAATCTTGAAAAATAAAGGAGACTCATACTTCCAATGTCAAAATTTGCTACAAACCTACAGTGATAAAAACTGTGTGGGCTAGACGTGGTGGCTCATGCCTGTAATCCCAGCACCTTGGGAAGCTGAGGTGGGTGGATCACCTGAGGTCATGAGTTCGAGACTAGCCTGGCCAACATGGTGAAACCCCATCTCTACTAAAAATACAAAAAAAAAAAAAAATAGCCAGGCCTGGTGGCAGGTGCCTGTAATCCCAGCTACTCAGGAGGCTGAGTCAGGAGAATCGCTTGAGTCTGGGATGTGGATGTTGCAGTGAGCAGAGATCGCGCCACTGCATTCCCGCCTGGGTGACAACAGTGAGACTCCGTCTCAAAAAAAACCCCAAAAACCTGTGTGGTACTGGCATAGGGATAGACACAGATGAGTGGAATAGAATTGAAAGTCCAGAAATATACTCATACATCTATGAGTGTCATGCATTTAATTGTAGCCTGCTAAAGATATACTGAAGTCTGGTCAGGCGCAGTGGCTCATGGCTGTAATCCCAGCACTTTGGGAGGCCGAGGCAGGTGGATCGCCTGAGGTCAGGAGTTTGAGATCAGCTTAGGCAACATGGTGAAACTCCGTCTCTACTTAAAAATACAAAAATTAGCTGGGCATAGTGGCAGGCACCTGTGATCCCGGCTACTCAGGAGGCTGAGGCAGGAGAATCCCTTGAACCCAGGAGGCGGAGGCTACAATGAGCCGAGATCGCGCCACTGAACTCCAGCCTGGGTAACAGAGCAAGACTCTGTCTCAAAAAAAAAAAAAGTAAGTAAAAAAAAAGATATGTTGAAGTCATAACCCGTAGTGCCTCAGAATGTGACCTTTTAAAATTTTTTTTATTTATGAAATACATGGCTTTATTCAGAAATAGAGTTTACAGATGTGATTAAGTTAAAATGAAGTTATTAGGGTGGTCCCTAATCCAATTTAAGCAATGTTTTATTAAAAAGGGAAATTTGGAAGATGAAAGCAGAGGTTTCAATGATACAACTAAAAGCCAAAGATGGCCAGCAAAATACTAGACGTGACAGGACAGACATGGAACAGGCTCTCCCCCACAGCCCTCAGAAGAAAATGACTTGGTCGATGTCTTGATTTTGGATCTCTAACTGTGAGACAAGAAATTTCTGTGATTTAAAGCCACACAGTTTTTGGTACTTTGGCAGCCCTAGGAAACTAATACAATAGGTCCAGCACAGGGGCTCATGCCTGTAATCCCAGCACTTTGGAAGGCCGAGGCAAGGCAAGAGGACTGCTTGAGCCCAGGAGTTCAAGATCAGCCTGGGCAACATGGCAAGACCCCATTACTAAAAAAAAAAGAAAGTCAATGAAATTTTATATTTTCTCGGCAAAAATCATGCCAGTAAGAAAGGAAGCAAACAGAGGGACCCAACATAGGATTAAAAAGGAGTTTCATTTCTAAAAAAAATAGGCCGGGCGCAGTGGCTCACGCCTGTAATCCCAGCACTTTGGGAGGCCGAGGCTGTCGGATCACGAGGTCAGGAGATCGAGACCATCCTGGCTAACACGGTGAAACTCCGTCTCTACTAAAAATACAAAAAATTAGCCGGGCATGGTGGCGGGCGCCTGTAATCCCAGCTACTTGGGAGGCTGAGGCAGGAGAACGGCGTGAACCCAGGAGGCAGAGCTTGCAGTGAGCCGAGATCACGCCACTGCACTCCAGTCCAGGAGACAGAGTGAGACTCTGTCTCAAACAAACAAACAAACAAACAAACAATAAATAAATAAATAAATAAATAAATAAATAAAAATAGCCACTGGGCACGATGGCTCACGCCTATAATCCCAGCACTTTGGGATCCAGCCGAAACGGGTGGATCACAAGGTCAGGAGATGGAGACCATCCTGGCTTACATGGTGAAACCCCGTTTCTACTAAAAATAAATAAACAAATAAAATTTAAAAAAAAATATGGCCAGGTGCGGTGGCTCAAGCCTGTAATCCCAGCACTTTCAGAGGCCGAGACGGGCGGATCATGAAGTCAGGAGATCGAGAACATCCTGGCTAACACGGTGAAACCCCGTCTTTACTAAAAAATACAAAAAACTAGCCAAGGGAGGTGGCGGGCGCCTGTAGTCCCAGCTACTCGGGAGGCTGAGGTAGGAGAATGGCATGAACCCAGGAGGCGGAGCTTGCAGTGAGCTGAGATCGTGCCACTGCACTCCAGCCTGGGCAACAGAGCAAGACTCCATCAAAAACAAAAAAAGAGAGGCCGGGCGCGGTGGCTCAAGCCTGTAATCCCAGCACTTTGGGAGGCCGAGACGGGCGGATCACGAAGTCAGGAGATCGAGACCATCCTGGCTAACACGGTGAAACCCCGTCTCTACTAAAAAATACAAAAAACTAGCCGGGCGAGATGGCGAGCGCCTGTAGTCCCAGCTACTCGGGAGGCTGAGGCAGGAGAATGGCGTAAACCCAGGAGGCGGAGCTTGCAGTGAGCTGAGATCCGGCCACTGCACTCCAGCCTGGGCGACAGAGCGAGACTCTGTCTCAAAAAAAAAAAAAAAAAAAAAAGAGGAAAAATGGGAAATTTTATGTAATTTTACCACAATAAAAAACAAAGTCGGCTGGGCGTGATGGCTCACACCTGTAATCCCAACACTTTGGGAGGCCGAGGTGGGCCACTCACTTGAGGTCAAGAGTTCGAGGCCAACATGGTGAAACCTTGTCTCTACTAAAAATACAAAAAATTAACCGGGTGTTGGGGAGTGGGAAGTGGAGGTTGCAGTGAGCCGAGAACTTGCCACTGCACTCCAGCCTGGGCAACAGATTATCCCAGCACTCTGGGAGGCTGAGGAGGGAGGATCACTTGAGTCCAGGAGCTCGAGACCAGCCTAGACAACATAGTGAGACCCCCCCGCTCCAAAAATTTTTTTTAATTAGGCAGGCATGCTGGCCTGGCTAATTTAAAGTAGTCCCAGCTACTTATGGGGTTAAGGCAGGAGGATTGCTTGAGTCCAGGAGGTCGAGGCTATAGTAAGCTATGATCACACCACCACACTCTAGTCTTGGCGACAGAGTGAGACCCTGTCTCAAAAAAATAAAAATAAGGAAGTTCAAACTGGGCTCAGGAAGAGGATCAGTCCAAAGTACAAGTCACAAGCAGGGTCTGCTTGGGTCTGGGGAGAAGGCAGCATTAGATTGGATCAGAGTTCAGGGACTAAAGACAGAATTCATTAGACGGCGTTCAAGAGTCATGAGGGGGCCATGGGTCATGCTGGGTGAGGTCGGATCAGAGAGCAGTCAGGCCTCACCTGAACATGGCGATGAGCAAATTGACCAGCAGGATGTTGGCCACGAGCAGGAAGATGACGAGGAGCAGCACCACCAGCCAGTTGGCATACTGGGAGACACAGACACCCGCCTGGGTCCGGGGAGGGTGTGCCCAGAAGCCGGGCTCCGACGAGCAGTTGCTGTGCTCCATGAGGGCCACTGTGAAGAGAGACATTCAGAGATCGGGGGAGGGGGACAGAGACCTAAGAAAGACAGAAAGACGGCCAGGTGTGGTGGCTCATGTCTGTAATCCCAGCACTTTGGGAGGCAGAGATGGCCGGATCACCTGAGGTCGGGAGTTCGAGACCAGCCTAACCAATATGATGAAACCCCATCTCTACTAAAAATACAAAAATGTTAGCCAGGCGTGGTGGCACGAGCCTGTAGTCCAGCTACTCGGGAGGCTGAGACAGGAGAATCACTTCAACCTGGGAGGCAGAGGTTGCAGTGAGCTGAGATCGTGCCGTTGCACTCCAGCCTGGGCAACAGGAGCAAAACTCCATGTAAAAAGTAAAGTAGAGGTTCCTCTTTAAAGACTTTCCTCCCTATCTAATTAAGAATAAATAGTAACTTCTCTTAGAAACAAAATGTATTCACAGACCTGCTAACATTCTTAAATATCTGTTAGCCGTAATAAAGAAATCAATGTACTCTACGTTCTTAGCTCCCACAATTTAGCCTAAATATTTGCCCTGGCATGCTTATACTGGTCCAAGCAAGCATTAGGTCATAGTCTGTTCCTCTTCCTTATTTGAAGGTGTTTTTACCTTTCTCAGCATTCCACAAGTTACCTCCTCCTTCCTTTGTTCTCCTCTGCCTTTGCTTCTTTTAAAAAGTTCTAAGTTACCAGCCAATCAAGACAAATACAAAATGTAAAGTCCGGTTCCAGCCAATAAAAACCAGACACAGCAGCAAGATAGACGCGTCAGGTTATAAATGACCTTATCTCCTTTGTTCCGTGTATTCTCGTGGCAGAACTGCTGGCGAGTGTACACTTTCTACAAAAAATTAAAATGGCCTTACTAAAAAAATTAAATTTATGTTCAAGTACTATTTCTTTACGACACCAAAAAACAAACATTTCTAACATCCATCTAAAAAAAAAAAAAAAAAAAAAAGACAGACAGAAAGACAGGGGATGGGGTGGGCAGAGACCCAGAGAGAAGATGATGGGGAATATAGGGATCCAGAGATCCAGAGAAAGAGGGAGACAGAGACTCAGAGGGAGGCTGTGAGGCCCTGTCATCCCCACCTACCGTCCATGTCCTCCTGGGGGATCTGCCCGAAGATCTGCAGGTAAGGACGGTAGAAGACGCGGCGCAGGATACTTGGGAGGTCACTGTTCCGTGGCCTTAGGAGCCCCTCCGTGGCCACGCCATAGGCCACCAGCCACACGCCGAGGAAGAAGAGGAAGAAGAACACGTCCTTCATCTGTGGGGAGATGTGGCTGAATCTGGCCCCGCCCTTCCCCACCCCTTATCCCAAAACCACGCCCCTTGCTCCCCAAAGTCACACCCTTTCTCCACAGACCACTCCCTCCCCAGCCCCACCCCTTTTCCTATGGCCCCGCCCACTTCCACCCCGCCCCTCCCTCACCATCTTGTTCACGATGACGATCTTGGGCCCCAGCTGTTTGTTGACCGTGAAGATGTGCAGCAGCCGCACCGTAAAAACCATGAAGTCAATGCAGAGGACGGTGCGGCCCAGGTGGTACAAACCCGGGGTCAGCCTGTGGTGTGGGGAGATGCCGCAAGAGTTACTCAAGTGTCACAAGACGCCAAGGAAAATGGGAGTCTTCCCAATGTCATGCTTCAGATGAAGCTGCAGCCTCCACCGGGCAGGACCAGGACCCTCCCAGTCACCCGGGGTTTACTCAAATTTACTCAGTGCCAAGCTGGTCCACGCAGGGCACTGGCACCCGTTTGAAAAATGGCTGCGCCTATTAACTAATAACTGAATGAACGATGGCCTTAGCAAAGAGCTGGCCCCTGTAAGAATCAAGCTGGGAAAAACTGTTGGAATATCTGTCCAACCTATAAAAGGCAAAACATATAGAGTCCCTACAAACCAATAAGCAAAAGGAAGGAATAGGAAGGAAGCCTGATAAAGGACACCATGTACAATTCACAGAGGAAGTTCAAACGGCCAGTAAACATCAGAAATTCCTATGGGGAAAATAAAAATGCTACCCCTATTTTGCATCCTCATGTACTTAAATTTTGGATGGATTAAAAACCTAGTGTATGGACAGGTGCAGTGGCTCACGCCTGTAATCCCAGCACTTCGGGAGGCCGAAGCGGGCTCAAAAAAAAAAAAAAAAAGGAAAGAAAGAAAGAAAAGAAACATACAAAAGTGAAAGTAAAAACACAAGCCACAGAATTCAAGAAGATATTAAGACCAACAAAACTACCAAGGATTAGGATCCAGAGTATAAGGAGAAGAGCGAGATGTATATACATAAAATCAATAGGCCGGGTGTGGTGGCTCACGCCTGTAATCCCAGCACTTTGGGAGGCCAAGGTGGGCGGATCATGAGGTCAGGAGATCGAGATCATCCTGGTGAACACGGTGAAACCCCCGTCTCTACTAAAACTACAAAAAATTAGCCGGGTGTGGTGGCGGGTGCCTGTAGTCCCAGCTACTCAGGAGGCTGAGGCAGAATGGCGTGAACCTGGGAGGCGGAGGTTGCAGTGAGCTGAGATCACACCACTGCACTCCAGCCTGGGCGACAGAGCAAGACTCTGACTCTAAAAAAAAAAAAAAAGAAAAAGAAAAAAAGAAAAAAAAAATCAATGAACCCCAATTTTAAAAATGGGGGGGGGCAAAGAAGACAATTGACACAAGCACATGTGGCCATTAAGCTTAGGAAAAGAGGTCCAACCTACCTGGTAGTCAATAGTACATAAATTAAAACAAGGAGAAGTCATGTTTGCCCATTAAATTGGCAATTTTTTTTTTTCAGTTAAATTGAGAGCTACATTTTAGAGTCAAAGTATCAGGCATTGTCAAGCATGGCCTCAGGAGGGCACTCTCTTACCCTGATGGCAGGGGTGGAAATGGGTGAAGCTACTTAGAACGGAATCTATCCATCTCAAGAACATATGTACGCTTTGACCCATACACTTTACATCTGGGGATGTAAACTTTTATTATTTTGAAATAATAAAAAAAACAGAAGGCTGGGCATGGTGGCTCACACCTGTAATCCCAGCACTTTGGGAAGCCAAGGTGGGAGGATTGTTTGACCCCAGGAGTTTGAGACCAGCCTGGGCAACACAGTGAGACCCCATCTCTATTTAAAACGAGAGAGAGAGAACCTAAATGTCCATCTAGAAGGAACTGGCAAAACAAAGGATGATTCATCCATTCAATTCTGGAGATGATTAGACATTTCTCCCTTTTTGTTTGTTTTTTTGAGACCGAGTTTCGCTCTTTTCACCCAGGCTGGTGTGCAGTGGCTTGATCTTGGCTCACAGCAACTTCCGCCTCTGGGTTCAAGCAATTCTCCTGCCTCAGCCTCCCGAGTAGCTGGGATTACAGGTGCCTGCCACCATGCCCAGCTAACTTTTGTATTTTTATTAGAGATGGGGTTTCACCATGTTGGGCAGGCTGGTCTCGAACTCCTGACCACAGGTGATCCACCCGCCTCGGCCTCCCAAAGTGCTGGGATTATAGGCGTGAGCCACCGTGCCTGCCCACTTCTCCCTTTTAAGCTGAGATCTTTCCATTTTTCTCATGTAGTAATTCTTCCTTCACCTGGAAAGTGGTGGGTTTGATAAACTGTCCAAAATATTGCTGGCAATCCTAGAGCATGGTAGCATATGGCCTTAGCCCTTTCATCTCAAAAGTCACTTTATACAAAATACAACAAATGATAAACAGAAGTATTAGTGTTCTACAAAACTCTCATATCTTGCTCCCTGCTTGAATAAATTATTTATGTTGAATCACTTTGTAACACTGCTAACACAGCTTAGAGGAAGCCTGACTTTCAGCGTGGCTACTGAGAAAAGCTTGAGTAGGGATCATCACTGTCATCACTGTCAACCATTCAGGATGTGTCAGGTCCCTTGTAAACAGTCACCAGGTTGTTGGCCAGGCACGGTGGCCCACATCTGTAATCCCAGCACTTCTGAAGGCTAAGGCGAGTGGATCACTTGAGGCCAGGAGTTCAAGACCAGCCTGGCCAATATGGCAAAACTCCATCTCTACAAAAAAATACAAAAAAAAAATTTAGCTGGGTATAGTGGTGCATGCCTGTAATCCCAGTTACTCGCAAGGCTGAGGCAGGAGACTCGCTTGAACCCAGGAGGTAGAAGTGGCAGTGAGCCAAGATCATACCACTGTACTCCAGCCTGGGCAACACAGCGGAACTCTGGCAAAAAAAAAAAAAAAAGAAAAGAAAAGAAAGAAGAAAAAAAAAAACAAAAACAAACAAAAAACCAGTCACCAGGTTGTGTCCACAAAGTTTTCTGTTTGCTCTCCTCAAAAGCAAGAGTATCCTAATGTGGCAGGGCAAGGGTTAAACCCTTAGCGTGGAGGGATGGAAGGATGGAAGGAAGGAAGGAAGGAAGAAATGAAGGAAGGAAGGAAGGGGGAGGGAGGGAGAGGGGCAGAGGAGACAGGGAGAGAGAGAGAGAGAAAAGAAAGAGAAAAAGAGAAAGAAAGAAGAGAGAGAAAGAGAATGAAAGAACGAAAAGAAAGAACGAAAGAAAGAACAGAAGGAAGGAAAACGAAGGAAGGAAGGAAGATGAAGGAAGGAAGGAAGGAAGGAAGGAAGGAAGGAAGGAAGGAAGGAAGGAAGGAAGGAAGAAAGGAAAAGAGTAAGTCGGGGGCAGGAGGGCAAGGGGCCTGGGACCAACGAGCTGTGTGGAGGAACAGGAGGGAGGAGGTGAGGTTGGCACCCAGGTCGGGGCGCTCCCAGAAATATGTGTTAACCTTCAGACCTAGCAATAAATAGCCACAGAGGCTGAGTGGTGGACCGTGGGGTTTTCTCCTGAATCCTGCCTTCTCTGAAGCTAGATCTCCAGGTGCTAGTCAATTACCCTGGGGCAATCGTCATGCCTGACTTTCCTAAGAGGGGTTTTGTTTCTTTTTCTGCAGTCAGCAAGGATGGCTTGACCTGCTGCCCAGCTGCGGGGAAGCCAGGAGTGGAGACCCGGGGAGTGGGCAGGAAGGATGAGAGGTGGCCAGGGGCCGGGGTTCCAAGGCCCCGGGGCACTCACCGGCAGCCCACGCCCAGGAGGAAGCAGGTGAGGGCCACTAGGTCGCACTGGTTCCAGCTGTCGGCGAGGTAGAGGCACAGGCGCTGGCTCAGTGAGGCATGGCCGGGCCCGGGGCCCCCGCTGGCCAAGCTGCCCCCGCCTCCGCTCAGGCCCTGGCGCAGCTCCTCGCACAGCAGTGTGAACGCCCAGAAGTAGAGCAGCAGCTCCAGGGCGCCGGGTGGCGCCGGCTGGAAATCCACGAGCAGCACCCGCGCGAACAGCAGCAGGAACAGCAGGTAGCTGACCACGTTGCCCATGAAGACGGTCACCGGCGCTCCCCAGAAGTGGAACCAGCGGCGTAGGCACCAGTGGCCCCCGCAGTAGCCCCCGCAGCAATCCCGGCGGCCGGGCTGGCGCGGGACCCCCAGCGGCGTCTTCTCCGCGGGGTCCGCCGTCCTGCTGGGGAGAGAAGAGAAGAGACCGTGTCGCAAACGACGAGAGTCCTGATCTCCACCATCATGGAGACTTTTGGCCTGGCACATCTGACCCTGCTGACCTGAAACTCAGTCTGCCCAGCGCTACCTTCTTGGGTTTTAACTCTTGTATCTAACCTCTGACCTCTGAAATCTCCCCTCAAGAGGTGGACTGATCGCTTGAGCCGAGGAGTTGGAAACCAGCCTGGCCAACATGGCAAAACCTCGTCTCTACAAAAAATATTTTAAAAATTTAGCTCTCTACTAAAAAAAATACAAAAAACTAGCCGAAAGAAAGAAAGAAAGAGAGAAAGAAAGAAAGAAAGAAAGAAAGGAAGGAAGAAAGGAAGGAAGAAAGGAGGGAAGAAAGGAGGGAAGAAAGGAAGGAAGAAAGGAAGGAAGAAAGGAAGGAAGAAAGGAAGGAAGAAAGGAAGGAAGAAAGAAAGGAAGAAAGGAAGGAAGGAAGGAAGGAAAGAAAAGAAGAGAGAAAGAGAGAGGGAGGGAGGGAGGGAAGGAGGGAGGGAAGGAAAGAAGGAAGGGAAGAAAGGAAGGAAGGAAGGAGAGAGAAAGAAAGAAAGAAAGAAAGAAAGAAAGAGAGAGAGGGAGGGAGGGAGGGAAGGAGAAAGAAAGAAAGAAAGAAAGAAAGAAAGAAAGAAAGAAAGAAAGAAAGAAAGAAAGAAAGAAAGAAAGAAAGAAAGAGAAAGAAAGAAAGAAGGAAAGAGGCCAGGGTGTAATCCTAGTACTTTGGGAGGCTGAGACAGGCGGATCATCCGAGGTCATGAGTTTGAGACCAGCCTGGCCAACATGGCGAAACCCCGTCTCTACTAAAAATACAAAAATTAGCCTGGTGTGGTGTGCGCCTGTAATCCCAGCTACTAGGGAGGCTGAGGCAGGAGAATCGCTTAAACCTGGAAGGCGGAGGTTGCAGTGAGCTAAGATCATGCCACTGCACTCCAGCCTGGGCGACAAGAGCGAGACTCCGTCTCAAAAAAAAAAAAAGTTTGATAAATATTCTATTTCATTCACTTAGACCTGCTTTTTAAAATACCTTTATGGTGACCATAGCATAGTGATTAAAAGCAGGGGCCTTGGGGCAAAATAGGTGAAAAATCCCCTCAATGAACTGATTCCACTTGCTACAGAGGGATGGAGGTATGTGTAGCATGAAGCAAATCAATTTCTAGTGACGGCCTCCTTGATGGCAGAACCAAATCTTGAGCCAAACCTTGAGCTAGGCATTTGGGAAGCTTCCTCAGTATCTCAGCCCCTGATGGGATGTGTGATATAGTTTGGATGTTCGTCCCTTCCAAATCTCACATTGAAATGTAATCCCTGGGCCGGGTGCGGTGACTTACACCTATAATCCCAGTACTTTGGGAGGCTGAGGCGGGAGGATCACAAGGTCAGGAGTTCAAGACCAGCCTGGCCAATATGGTGAAACCCTGTCACTATTAAAAGTACAAAAGTTAGCCGGGCGTGGTGGTGGGTGCCTGTAGTCCCAGCTATTCAGGAGGCTGAGGCAGGAGAATCGCTTGAACCCAGGAGGCGGAGGTTGCAGTGAGCCGAGATTGCACCACTGCACTCCAGCCTGGACGATGGATCGAGAATCCATTTCAAAAAAATAAAAAGGAAGAAATGTAATCCCTGGCTGGGCACGCTGGCTCACACCTGTAATCCTAGCACTTTGGGAGGCCAAAGTGGGCGGATCACTTGAGGTCAGGAGGTCAACACCAGCCTGGCCAACATGGTGAAATCCTGATTCTACTTTAAAAATACAAAAATTAGCTGGGCATAGTGGCATGCACCTCTACTCCCACCTACTTGGAAGGCTGAGACAGGCGGATCAGGAACCCAGGAAACAGAGGCTGCAGTGAGCCAAGACTGCACCATTGCACTCCAGCCTGGGCAACTGAGGGAGACTCCATATCAAAAAAAATAAAGAAAAGAAAAAAAGACAAGACAAGACAAGAAGGAAGGAAGGAAGAAGGAAGGAAGGAAGGAAGGAAAGAGAGAGAGAGAAAGAGAGAAAGAGAGGAAGAAAGAGAAAGAAAGAAAGAAGAAAGAAAGAAAGAAAGAAAGAAAGAAAGAAAGAAAGAAAGAAAGAAAGAAAGAAAAAAAAAATGTAATCCCTAATGTTGGAGGTTGGGCCTGGGAAGGTGTTTGGGTCCTGGTGGTGCGTCCGTCATAAATGGCTTAGCACCATCCCTTTGGTGACTTTTTGCTCAGTTACTTCACATGAATCTATGTGGCACCCCCTATTCCTGCTTCTGCTCTTGCCATGTGATACACTGGCTCCTCCCTCACTTTCTGCCATGAGTGGAAGCTTCCTGAGGGCTCACCAGCAGCAGATGCCAGCATATGCCTCCTGTACAACCTGCAAACCATGAGCCAATGAAATCTCTTTTCTTTATAAATTACTTAGTCTCAGATATTCCTTTGTAGCAACTCAAGAGGGACTAACACAATGTGGAAGTGCCACAATGTCCTGAACTGCCCAGGATGTCCCCCACCTCACACAGTGCTGGGGGCTCCACTCACCCAACAGGCCCTTCTCCGTTAACGGCACTATCCATGTCGAACTCTAGCTCCTCCCGTGTGTGCTCCTCTTCTGATTTCCTGGCAAGGAGGGAAGCACAGAGTGAGAAATAAGGGGAAGAGGAGGTGGAGAGCATTCTCCAGCAAAACTCAAACTTCTTCACCTGGAGACTGGCAGAGAGACAGAGAGGTGGTCTCCTAAAGTCACCCCAAAGGACCTTCCCCCAGAGCCATGGCCAGAAAGGGAGAGTAACTGCCACTAGAGACACAGGGAGGATCCCCCCAAAACTCACCTCCCACAGCACTCCCTTAGTGGATGGAGAGAGAGTCCCATTCCCAGGGAAGGGACACAATGGCCAGATGAGGGAAGAAAGGTGGGCAGAGTGAGCAGGAAGAGAAACTGAGCACCTCCGCCCCATCCCCCACCACTCTTACCCAGGGTACTGACCTGAAGGTGATGAGGCGGGTGCAGATGAGTGGGGGGGCAAACAGAAGCAAGAACCAGGGCCCCAGATGTGTGTAGTGCTGCCATATCTCCCACCACTTTCGTGTCAGCAGAGACTGTGGGGTGTGGGCAGGATTAGGATCCAAAATCCCCCACAGCCCCCTCCCTAAGACGCCCAGCAAGGGTTTGGACCACAGCTCCAAAGTACAGAGCAAGTGCCCCAGTGTCACAGTCCACACCTAATGAGATGGTGGGAAACGTGGTGAAAGGCAAAGACAACTTGGGCCAGGTTTTGACAGTAAACAACCAATCACTTAAATTGACACTATATGGCAGATACAGGGCTAAGCATTTTATGGTAGAGTAGTCCACTGAATTCCTCGACACATAAGGGGGTGGGTACTAGTATCCTCCCCCTTGGCACACACATGAGGCAAGAGGTTAAGGAAATGGCCCAAGGAAACACAGCCTGTATAGTAGAGCGGATGAGTTTTAACCACTACACACACAGGGACTCTGGGGTAGCTGTTTGAAATGTGGGCCAAAGCCATTCCAACGATGAGGATGGGACTTCCCTGTGGGTGGGCACAACTTCCCTGTACTGAAGTGAGCATTCTGAGCCCCCTGTCCAGATTTGAACTAAAAATACTGATAATGTTTCCAAATGTAACTTGTCAGGATCGGAGAACTGTGGGAGCAAGTGGGGCTTCCCAAGGCAGACGATTTCCTATAGAAGGGCTGGGATTTTCCTAGGCCCAAAGTTTATGTCCAAAAAAAGGTAATTGTTCAGTGAGTGCCATCTAATTGCTGAAAACTGAAACTAGGCACCTCTAAAAGAAGTGAAAGGGTTTCCTGTGGATGACATGGACTTTCCTGTGGATGACGTGGGACCTTCCTGTGATGACTCAGGACTTCCTTTGAAAGTAATGGGCTCTTCCGTGAAAGGGGAAGGACTTCTTAGGTTAAGGTGTAACTTCCTGATAGGGTCACCATAGGAGTTTCTCTATCTGGAGGGAACTTTTTAGGAGGATGGGCTTTGCCGTGGGAAGGTTTGGCTTTTAGGGAAGGGAGTGAGGCTTCTTATGGGAAGAGCAGCCTTTCTGAGAGAGAAGAGAGACTTTCTGCGTAGTCTCCCAGGAGAGGGGCTGTCGAGACCATACAGATTCCAATGGCAGGGGCCTCATCCCTGAACTTCCCAAGTCCACTTGGAGACTGTTTGGGATGTTGATGTTGCAGATACTCCACCTGTGTAACCCTCCATCCTGGGCAAAGAAGGCACGGGCCGTCAGCTTGCATGGCCAGCTGCAGGCAAGTGGCATCCCCCCAGAGCGGGCAGCGACGGAGGAGGAGGCGGGCAGCCCTTACCTCACTGCTGTGATAGCACTCACCAAAGAGGTCTAGAGGCAGAGGAGTTAGTTATGTGACAGGGATGGGAAGTAGGGTGAGGGTGTGAAGGGAGAGGAAAGGGAATTTAAGGGGATGGTGTAGGGATATGTGAGGAGTGCGGGCATGCACATTCACCCCTGGCGGCAGCCCCCATCCCTGCTCCCAGGCACCATGCTCCACGCACCAACACCCATCCCCTCAAACTTGATCGCCAGGTCTTTCCTCCGTGCTGCCTCCTCAGCATCAGGCTCCAAACGTGCCATCACCCGGAGCAGCAAACAGGCCCCAAGAGCTGAGGAAACTGCATTGGAACCCTGGAGAGACAAAGAGGGCATGGATGCCTCAAAGAGGGTTCATAGAGGGGGAGAAAGCCTGAAGTCAAGGGAAGGGATAGAGTCAGAGGTCAGAAACTAACTGGGGTCATCAGAGGCCAAGGAAGAAGTAATGTTTGGAGACGGATCTGGAAGAAACTGAACGTCAGTTGAAAATACCAGAAGTCAGGTGGTTCAGAGACCAGAGATGCAAGTCACGGATGCAAGTCAGGGGTTAGAATGAATTCAGCAGTCACAGTCAGGTCAAGAAACAGTTGGAGACTGGGTAAAGTGGCTCATGACGGTAATCCCAGCACGTTGGGAGGCTGAAGTGAAACCACCTTTGCAAAAATTACAACTGAGGAAATTATGACAATGAAAGAAATCAGACCTAACTGACTCCATCTTGCTTCTAACCCTTAAGCTGTCCTTGCTCATTCCTGGGCATAGGCTGAACTAACTTTGGGAAGGAATTCAGTTCATGGTTTGACTCTGAAACAAAACCGATAATAGCCCTTTCCCAAAAGACGCCCTTCTTGCCTGAGGACCAGTCTGCCTTTGATGACTAACAAATTAGCTACAAGATTAGAAATTAGGGCCGGGCGTGGTGGCTCACGCCTGTAATCCCAGCACTTTGGGAGGCTGAGGCGGGCGGATCATGAGGTCAGGAGATCGAAACCATCCTGGCTAACACGGTGAAACCTCGTCTCTACTAAAAATACAAAAGATTAGCCAGGCGTGTTGGCGGGCGCCTGTAGTCCCAGTTACTCGGGAGGCTGAGGCAGGAGAATGGTGTGAACCTGGGAGGCGGCGCTTGCAGTGAGCCAAGATTGTGCCACTGCACTCCAGCCTGGGCGACAGAGCGAGACTCTGTCTCAAAAAAAAAAAAAAAAATTAGAAATTATGGTTAGGAGGTCATGCAGCCTCTGGCTCCCCAGATTGCTCGTGGGGATAACATTACTATTGTAAAACCTAAGATGAGTGCTTGAGATAGTTTGCAGACCTTGCACTGAATGGATCAGCTGACATCACCCAGACGGTAATCTGGCTCAGTGAGTTCTGCCTTCCCACTCAGGAACAAAAGACAGCAAGAAAAACTCACTTGGGCTCCCTGTGAGTCCATCTCCTACCTGACCAATCAGCACTCCCCACTTCCCAAGCCCCTACCCACCAAATTATCTTTAAAAACTCTCATCCCTGAATCCTCAAGGAGACTGATTTGAGTAATAATAAAACTGAGGCCTCCCGCACATCCGGCTCTGCGTGAATTACTCTTTCTCCATTACAATTTCCCTGTTTTGATAAGTCGGCTCTGTCTAGGCAGCAGGCGAGGTGAACCCATTGGGGGGTTACAGATGCAGGAGGATTGCTTGAGCCCAGGAATTCAAGACCAGCCTAGGCAACATAGTAGACTCCATCTCTACAAAAAAAATTTTTTTGGCCGGGCGCGGTGGCTCATGCCTGTAATCCCAGCACTTTGGGAGGCCGAGGCAGGAGGATCACAAGGTCAGGAGATCGAGACCATCCTGGCTAAAATGGTGAAACCCTGTCTCTACTAAAAAAAAAAAAAAAAATTAGCCGGGCGTGGTGGCGGGTGCCTGTAGTCCCAGCTACTCGGGAGGCTGAGGCAGAAGACTGGCATGAACCCGGGAGGTGGAACTTGCAGTGAGCTGAGATCATGCCACTGCACTCCAGCCTGGGCGACAGAGCGAGACTCCGTCTCAAAAAAATTTTTTTTTTAGTTAGCCAGGTGTGGTGGTTTGCTCCTGTAGTCCCAGCTACTAGGGAAGCTGAGGTAGGAGGATCAAATGAGCCCAGGAAGTTGAGGCTGCAGTGAGCCATGATCATGCCACTGCATTCCAGCTTGCATGACTGAGGAGACCCTGTCTCTAACAATAAAAGTTTTAAAAGCACTTGGAGAGGTGACCAAAAATGCCAGTGTAGGGAACTTCAAAACTTCATCCCTCCACAAAAGCAATCAATAGCTAGCAAAAACTGTCAGAATCAACTTTTCTAGAATTCTGGAATCTAATCCAAAACTTACCAAAAAAACCAACAACAAAATGCTTAATGAAGAGACTACTAAATTGCAGTAAGAGGGCGCTGTGATATTTTAACCTACCCACTTACTATCCCCAGCTCCCCAGCTCAGTGGCAGCCTTGAAGACAAAGACACACATTCCTGGTGTGGGCCGCTGGTACTAGAGGGAGCAATTCAGACCTTACCCTCCAGAATTGTGGTCGTGTGGGGCCCTATCTGGTGGCTTCCTGAGGCAACAGCTCAAGGGCTTGACTTTGCTTCACCTGCCTTAGAGCTTTCACCAGAGAAAAAGTGGCTTTCCAGCAGTGTGTGTTAAAATCTTTTTTTTTTTTTTTTGAGACGGAGTTTCACTCTTGTTGCCCAGGCTGGAGTACAATGGTAAGATCTCAGCTCACCACAACCTCTGCCTCCTGGGTTCAAGCAGTTCTCCTGCCTCAGCCTCCCAAGTAGCTGGGATTAGAGGTATGCGCCACCATGCCTGGCTAATTTTTGGTATTTTTAGTAGAGATAGAGTTTCTCCATGTTGGTCAGGCTGGTCACAAATTCCTGACCTCAGGTGAT